GAAATCTTAATGAGGAATAAAAATAGTTTTGCGTATTTGCAGTTTAAATTAGGGCAAGAGGCAAGAGAATTTTTTTTTTTTCTAAATGAAGACCTGTCCACATTACCATATAAGCAGCCTCACTTCCCTCTTGGAGCTTTAAATAACATATTCACAGGGTGAACCAAGCTGTTACATTTTCATTAATTGTTGATGAAGTGACTTACGACCAGAGTATCTCAGAAATTGAATGGGAAAACAGAAGTCTTGTTGCAGTCCGGTTGACCCTTTTATATTTTACATCCTAATACTGCTCATAAGAGACGAGTGGGACCTTTGAAAACCATTTGTAATCTGGAAAGTTAGTACTTTAAGCATGCATTTGAGTGGTTTGTGTTGTTGGTTGATGCGTGGTAGGTTCAGAGGTGGGAACTGCTAATGTGGCTCTGAGATTTCAAACATAATGCCATTTGGAAGTTCATGGTAACTTGTGGTTTTGATTTGTAGTTGCCTTTGAGGGAAGAGACAAGCAAAAAGTCTTGGAATCTTTTCTGTAAGACATGTTTGTGGTGGTTTAAACCCAGCCAGACAGCTTGTTCACTCGCTTCCCCCCCTTCTTGCCTTCCCCCTACTCCCGGAGGGACAGAGAGGAGAATCGACAAGAATGCAACTCCCACAGGTTGAGATAAGAACAGTTTAGTACCTAAGGTATAACACAAATCACTACTGCTACCACCAATAATAACAATGATAAAGGAAATAACAAGGGAAGAGAATACATCACCTCACCACCAGCCAACCGATAACTTGCCCCGCCCCCCCCAGCCTGACCAAGCACCGACCGATACCTCCTCCAACCCTGCAGTCTCCCAGCCCTTCTGGGTAACTCCCAGTTACATCCTGGGCATGACGTGCTGTGGTATGGAATACCTCTTTGGTCAGTTTGGGTCAGGTGTCCTGTCTCTGCTTCCTCCTGGCTTCCCCTCCTCCCTGGCAGAGCATGAGCCTCACAAAGGCCTTGGTCAGGGTAAACATTACTGAGCAGCAACTAAAAACATCAGTGTTATCAGCACTGTTCTCAAGCTGAGAGTCAAAAAAACAGCACTGCACCAGCTACTAAGAAAGAGAAAAATGACTGCTACTGCTGAACCCAAGACACAAAGAATGGTCTGGAAAGCAAAAGCAAGTATTTAAATAAATAAATTGCTTTCTCCTGTTCTTCTCAACCTTGTGTATTTTTCCTCTGCCAAGCAGAGCATATTGTCTAGAAACAAACAACCAAAGTTAATGTCCCCAGAGGAAGATGTACCTTCCTTCTGCACTGATGACTCACAGCACTTCTGAACTAATATTTATTAAAAGAGATTCTTTCCCAATGCTTGTTGAGGTTCCTTGATACCCAGTGGCCCAGGAAATCATTAAATTAACCAACACCTAATTTCAGTAACCCGAGGACCAAGAGTGGGTTCCTGTGACACAAGGATGTTGAAAGAAAGTAAGAAGTTTGGTAACTTTGTTCCAGTCAAGATGCTGGGTTATTTTTGTAACTGGATGTGAGATGTCCTCATGCTTAGATTTTTGTGTTTTCTGGGGGAAGACAATTCACATGGAGTCCATTTGTGAGCACATGCTCCAGATACATAACTTGGGTGTTACTGGGTCTGGCTTCAGAGCATAAAATGCCAAGCAGGAAGGAGGCAGAGCTGTTTTGGAAGGGAGAATGCATAGTACAAAACATTAAAGGAGAGGCCCATAAATGGGAACAGAGGCTATACTGCAGTTCATGAAAACAGTGAAACTAGAGGTATATCTGTTGTGCAAGAGAGTTAGAAGGAAAATCGGGGTGAGAAGGAAGACTTGCTGGGAGCTTAGAGGGATAAGGAGAGCTGGAAGAAAAGGCTGTGGGAGAGCCTTCTGTGATTACAGAGAAAGATCTTGCAGATTGAAGTTACACAGGTGGATGTACAGGATTTAAAAGAATGTCATAGAAATTATGAGTCACGTTTTTTAAGCAAGCAGTGCTGAGCAAATCAGCTCTTTTGGTACAAGGAGGAGTGATGTGCTGCGGAAAGTAAAGAAGGGCTATTCTCTTTGGGTGTCACTATCTGTGTTTCTTTCACTTCAGTGTTCTGTGTGTGTTTTGATTTTTCAAGGAGATGTGGTTTAAGGGGGACCAGAATAAAACAAAGTTTTGGAAAAAGATTTGGAAGAAGAAAGGCTTCAGTTAAACCACCAGGGCAAGACGAATTCAATTGTTCAAATTTCAACTTATAGTATTACTTCAGTCTTAAAAGGTTCTGCTGATTTATGATTCCTAAAATGATAACAAACCCAAAAATGCTATTAGAAAAGAATTGTAAATACTGTTTTCCTCTGTAGGTATACTGATGTTTCAGCCTCTTGCTGTTTTATCCTCTCAGTATTGCATAATGCAACCAATTCATGTTTTCCAGAGCTTCCCAATTAACTGAAGTGTTCAGAAGTTTCCATGACCTTTAGGTTTCTTTGTACTCTTACGTTGTTTTGCAAAGAGTATGATAGATTTTGTGGTTTACTTCCAGTGTAGCCTTTCTTTTATGGGAAAGATGTCACAATGCAAAAAGGCCATGGTTTTGAGCATTGAGTACAATGCTGATTTGACATAACTTTTTTCCAAAAATGTCTTAACATACAGGAAGTACCTCATGAAAAAATAGTGAGCAGCAAAATATCATTTTAAAAGTATAATTTTAAAAGTATCATATATGGAAAAAAGGCAGAAGAAAGGAGATCCTCTAAGGGAAGTTTGTTGCAGGGTATAGAAAAGGACACCTGTATCTTGTGTTCAGGACTGTAGTTGATTGTCACTGTGCCTTTGGTTCTTGCTTCAGTTTTGCCTGTCGCAGTACACAGCATATATGCCTTGCTGGAAAACCTTCTGTGAAGCTCAGGTTGTCCACTTCAGTCACATCTGTGAGTTCCCAAAATCAGGCCTCTGTTTTTCACTGAAATCTTGGGATGTTTCTCCAAAACCTTGTGGTCTAATGGAGGTTTCTGCAGACAATGGGCTTTAGGCTGCGGAATGAATGAATCTTGGCTATCCTGTGACCTTACAAGGTGGAGGCTGGAGATGGAAAAGGTGGAAGGTGAAGACCTTCCAAGGAAGGGTGCACAGGCTGCCTTAGTAGGCCCAGTGCTATATTCATACATTGTTTACCATCCTGATGTAAATACTTCATGTCTGTCTGCCTGGAGTATAAACAGAACTGTTGGTTCTGTCTGCCCCTGCCCGTGCAGGCATGTATTTAGAAGCCTGAGCTTATTAGTCAGAGATGTTTTACTCTTTCTTTGGGCACATGCTGAACACTACCAACTACTCATGTCAGAACACTGATTAACATACATATATAAAGGTATATATGCATATAGCCAGTCCCTCCAATCTCCCTGCCCCAAATAAAGAAGCCTGACTCCTGGTGTTGCTTAATATTTAGTAATTATGAAGCCTCAGGATCTTGTTTATACACGCCAACTCTGATCTGGTATTTTGATCCATGTTTGCTGTAGCATGTCCATCGAGGCCTTGCATTTAGTGTAAGTGCATCAAAAGTTCTGAAAGCAGAATGTAATCGCTGACAAGTTGTCCCACAATGTAAATGTAAAACCTGTAGATGCCCCACAGGTTGTAAATGCAACCTGTTGTAGGAAATAAAAAAGTTCCCTGTTGGTAAACAAATACTGAACTTCTTTTAAGACTGAAATTTGATTGAGAAAATACAGTAGATCATAAGGAATCTACACCCATGCATGTAATACCTTGTGAGCAGTGCAGTAAAGAACTAAGATAATTCAGTTATTTTGCAGAATTGTGGTATGAACTCACTTATTAATCCACAAAATAAAAACTTGTGTGTAAATAGATTCATAAAAGAGAATGAGAGTTAATAGAAATACAAAAAGGTACAGAAATGGAACAAATAATACTATGGCTGTAAGGAGAGGACAAGCCTCTACTACGCTTTTATTTTTCTTAAATGATTTTTAGGTGTAAACATTAATGAGATTCCTTTTCCCAAAACTGCCTGGAAGATTTTATTATGCAGAGACTTTATTCTGCACCCTCTGTTCTGCAGATGATGAAACCTGTGAAGGAATGAATTTGAATGTATTTCGGAGATATTTTTCTATGTGTGAAATACATTTAAGTATTGCAGTTGTTGTCTCTCAGACTCCCAGTCAAGGAGCTAATATATTAGTGGAATCCAAATTGCTATATGAAAGGGTTTCTGTTGGGTTACTGTGAAAGGTCTTCCTAAAGGTAAATGTTTTAGTATTTCAAATGCCGTTTTGAAGAAAGAGGGTTGTCACAGTGAAGCTATCTCTTCCTTCACTTGTGGAGACCACAGCACAAGGAGGAACTGAAACCAAGCCTGGAATATTTCTGTATTAAGGCATCTCTCCTCTGAATAATGATATTAACTTGAAAAGTGTTATGCTCTATAGTGATGGATGATTCCTATGGAAACTCTTGCTGTTAAATGGATTCCCAGCCTCCTGACTGACAGTGTCAGCCTGTTGTTATTTAGTCGTGTCCCCTCTGCATCCCTGTCCCCTGATTCTCATGTGGGATGTGGTAATGGCTGTGGAGCTAAATTTGGAAACATTTTATGCTGCTGAAAAGAATAAGATATGCAAAGTTTTGGCTAAAGTGAGAGAACTGTTCATTCTTCCTTTGCAAACAAACCCCAACAAAACCAACCCCAAAATCCCACCAAAAGTCCCGCAAAGAAATGCTTGTGTGTGTGTTTTTGTTTTGTTTTGTTTTTTTCTAGAACACGAAAATCCAAACAGCAAACCAAAGTCCCCTTCCAAGAATGTAGTTGTTTGAAATGTTGAGTATAAAGTTGTTTTGTAAACAGCTTATTGATAATGGCTGCATTTATTTGTTTGTTGTTTTGTTTTGTTTTGTTTTTTGCATGATGTGAAGTAGGAGTTGACAAGTTGGGTAATTTTTAACACAGATTTGTATCTCTGTCTTCTAGAAAACTCTGCTGAAGCAGATTTATGGCTGCTGAACAGTTGTACAGTAAAAAATCCTGCTGAGGACCACTTCAGAAACTCAATCAAGTAAGTTGTTTCCCTAAAAAGATACTTAATTGTGAATGAATATTGCATGTTTTCATTTTAAAAGCTTCATATTTTCAATCTAGAAGTGATTTTGTGGTTTCAAGTAAGAAGTGTGCTGAGTTTGTTACAATGGTGAGTTCCCTAGAATGAATTTGTAAGGTGCAGTGTGGGTTTTGCAATTTGCAAATGATTATCAATGCACTTACTTAGGAGAGCTGCTGGCCCTGTTTAGATAGGGGCTTCTCTATCGCTTCTCAAGACAGTGTTGTAATAAGTGTGGGTCTTTTTTTTTTTCTGTTTGGGGGGTTTGGGGGTGTGTGTTTGTTTTTGTTGTTTGTTTTTTTTTTTTCCAAAAATGTGAATTGTTAGGCTCTTTTTTTCCCCTCTACTTAATTTTTACATAATCGGGCCCTTCCAATTAGAAGTGTACCAGGTACATACTTAAAACTGTTTCGCTGTTCATTTCCCTAAAAGGTGAACTGATTAGCCTATACTAGAAGTCTTGCAAAGAATATGTTATGATTTCTCTGTAACATTTTGATGGTGTTGGAAAGTATGACGTGGTAGTGACTTCTGCCTCTGACTGCGGCAGGCATACGGTTGTGATGAGAGTTAACTAGAAAATCTGTACAATTACAGCTATCATTGCCCAGTATAAATAAATACAGTGCTGTGTTTCTTGTAGATTTTACCTTCAGTAAACAAGTGTGGCTATCTTATGCAGTCATTTGTTCAGTGTGGTGCACTGGGGATGCACTGTTGGTAGAGATCCATTTTGATTAGAAAAAAAAAAGCCATAGTTTTTAATAAGCATGCTCAGAAGGTAGACAGAAGCTGGATATAAGCAGTCTGCTTGCAGTGCTAGAGTCACTAACAGCATCCAGGGGCTGTAACTTGGAACAGAAACTGCTTGTCTTTGGTAGGTGGTACAGCAGAAGGTACTTCCACCCCTTAGAGGGCTTCACCTCCTGACTGCTGGTGTTGCACTTAGTGATGAAACTGGCTTTTTGGCTTTTTTTTACAGTTGCCAAAAAAAAAAAGCTATTCCCAGAATACTTCCAATGTGTTGGCCAACAGAGTAGATGACAAGATCTTTTCCAGTTCAGTTGTGGCCATCTTTCTATTTTACTAATCCTGTGCCAGAATTGATGTGGTATGGTGTGTGTCCTTTAAAACAGTAGAATAGAGTTGGTTAAGAAAGAGGGTACAACTAAAAGCAAATGACCAAAAGTATTTCTTGGAACTTCATGTTTGTGTTGTTGCTCTGTTAATGAGCCTGATGTGATTTGCCTGAGTTTACTGTTCTTGTTCTTTACTTCTCCCTATACAATTTCTATTCTGACACAGATATTCTGGTTGTTCTCCACTTTTTTTGTCTTTGCTGAGACTCACTACTTTCCTGAAGCATACGTCATTTTTCTCTGCTCTCAGATAGTGGCAGCTCCTCATGTGGAGAAGGCCAACTTTCATTGTTGTTTCTGACCATTTTTTATAATTATTATTGAGCACAGGGGAGAGATCCATATGTAGTGCTCCTTCATGGTACTTGGAACTGAAAGATTAAACATCATCCATATCAGAAAAGAACAGCTACAATTGTATCTGGGGTTTACAACAGTGAGGAAAGCTTGTATCACTACAGAGCACAACTTGTCCTAAATATCTATTATTTTATTGCAGAGGCAAACCCAGTGCTTGAAGTTTGGGTGATAGAAAACTGCCTGCCATTATATCCTATCATAATGGCTGTTGGTAGCTATGGAGATCTTTGTTCTTTAAGACTGAGTAACAGTTTAAAACATTTAATAAGTGGATTGTCAAAGCAAACATACTCAGCACATTAAAATTAGAAAAAAATTCAGGCTGGAAGTGCTTTATAGCATTCTGAATTTCAATATATAGAATTATAAATTGGGAGAAGTATTTCAGTTCTGCTTATTCTCTGCCTTCTGCAACAGTTTCTGCTACATGATTTTCCTTGCACATATGACTTTAAAATGCAGTTATTCAAACCAGTGGCAGTGTGTTCATGCTGATGGTTGAAGAATGACTGTCTGAGAAGCTGATCCTTCACTAGTGGCGTGTACCAAGGGATGTGTTAGAACTGTGCAAGTCCTGTATGTTCAGCCTTTTTTTTATCTGACATTCTTTTAAAAACAATTACTCCCAAACTCTCTGAATCTTTGCACTGCATGTACAGATGCATCTATAGCTGATGCAAGCTGACTGAGAGTATAATCTCTGTGCCTTTTTGTGTCGCTCTTAGAAGTAGTCTACTGCTCTTCAGTATCAGTGAAGTTGAAGGTGCTGAGCTGGGGTGATGATAGGGAGGGCAGAGAGTTGCCTAAAGGTCATAACTTATGGATGGGAATTGAGAGCATTTCTTGTGCAGATTTTATTCTCAGTTTTACAATTCATGTTTAATTGTAAAATAAAGGGTGAGGTAGGTAATAGTAATGAAGAATTTCCAGTATAATCACATAGGTGGAGTTAAAAAATAATAATTATATCCTTCGAAAGAAAATGGAGGTTAATTCAAGAAGAAGTAGGAAATAGAATAAACTGAAGTAGGTAACTTCCATCAAGCAAGTTTATGAAGATTAAGATAACTGTGTAAAGTAAATAGTTAGGTACAGAAAAAGAATGCCTTCAACAAGTAAAAAGAAGCAAAAGAACCTAACATTAAGAAGAAGTGAGGCAGACAGCGCTGCAAATAAACAGTCCCCGTTTGGTGTAGTTATGCTGCAGTAACCCTGCTCTTCTGTTTTAATATTTTTGCTAAATTTGCACAGAGCATGCATTATCCCCTAGCCTCCCAGAATTTGCAAGTGCACATAACCCTGTGGCCGAAGACACTTGTGATGAAACATTTGCTAGTAGCTGGTTTTGGCAGGATCTTACCTTGGGGTAGGAAGAGCAGGAGATGGTCTGCTGTTTAAATGGTTCCAATTTGCAGCTATTATGAAATAAGAACATGTTCTTCTTGGAAGTGGGAGCAAAAACATGGAGTGCAGGGGGAAGAGGGAGACACGGGCACAGGAGCGAGCGTGGGTGTATGTATTGTGCAGTTGATAAGCACTCAGTTGTCACATGGTATACACAGAGATGAATGAATTATGTCTCTGTCTCTATGATGTAACAGTGTAGTATAAGTAGTACTACATATAGATAGTACTACTACAGGATCACAGAATAGCTGAGGTTGTTGGGGATCTCTAAAGATTGTCTTTTTGAACCCTGCTCAAAGCAGAGACAACTAGATCAGGTGGCTGAGGGCTGTGTGCAGGTGGGTTTTGAGTATCCTTAGGAGACTCCACAAATGATCTGGGTAACCTATTCCAGTGTTTGGCTACTGTTATAGTAAAAAAAGAGTTATTTTAGGTTTAAACTTCATGTCTTGTGGTTGCCTTTTCACTGTCGCTGGGCACCACTGTGAAATGCTAGTCACTGTCATCAGGTGTTTAATACACATGGTGGGATTCCCTGGACCTTTCTCTCTCCAGGCTGAGCAGTTCCAGGTCTCTGAGCCTTTCAAGCCCTTCCTTGAACCCCTTCCAGTTTGTCTGGGTTTTACCCATCCTGGGGAAACCAGAACTGTACCCAGTGCTCCAGATGTGGCTCCCACCATGCTGAGAGCAGAAGGGAAGGATCACTTCCCTCTGTCTGCTGGTGATGCAATTCCTAATGCAGCCCAGAAAGCTGTTGGTGGTCTTTGCCCCAAAGGCTCATTGCTGCCTCATGGTCAACTTGGTGCTCACCAGGACCTGCAGGGCCCTTCCTACCAAGCTGCTTTCCAGCTGGCCAGCCCCAGCCTGTCCTGGTATATGGGGCTGTTCCTCCTCAGGGCCAGGACTTTGCAGTATCCATTTGTTGAACTTCATGAGGCTTACACATTACATTAGTTAAAATCTCTTTTTCTTTAAAATTGATATTAAACTCTATAAGGAAAATTATTCATTTGGGTTAACTCAGTGTTCATTGTGAGCGAGCTAGTTGTCCTTGTAAAGATGTGGCTATTGGTGTATATGTTGTGGTGGCTTTTAGAAATACATTCCTGTAATGAATTTCTCTCCTGAAAGGAAAAGAAGAGCCTTAGTTCTGTCAAGGGATTTTATTTTGCTTGCTGATGGATATACCTATTGTATTTTAGTAAAGTAGTTGCTGAGCATTCCTGGGAATTAGCAACTTTTGGAAAGATTCAGGAATGCTGAATCCCTCAGATCAGTGGTTTTTTTTTGTTGGTTTTTTTTTTTTCTAGTGTACAATCATTTAAGCAGAAGGATTTTTTAAATTTTAAGTTACAGTTCAAAAAACCCTGACAACCTAAGCCACAACCATTAGCATCTTTGCTGTGCTATTTATACAGAAAGTGCCCCTGAAAGCACATTGTTCAAGGTGTCATGTTGAGCAGAATGACTGTGATGACACGGTACCTCAAATCACTTTTGTAGAATCAAGTGCATTGAGGTGGGTTGGATTCAAGGATCCACCTTTATCTTATGTGGAAGTAGGTTTTGTCTGCTGCCACAACTGGTTCTGTTGGTGCCGTGGTTGGTTTGTTGTTTTTTTTTGTTTGTTTTAGTTAATGATATTTTAAGGAATGAGATGTTTTCCCTTTCACATTATTTCTTTCAGCAGTGGCGAGTATTTTCTTTCTCAAGTTACTAGTCAGATATAATATAGCAAGATTGCTTTGGAGAGTCCTGCACTAAAGGCAGCAAAATGCTTGGAATGTTTCATTGATGGAGTTTGTCCTTGAAGGACAGCTGTGCCTTAAAAACTCTTTATCCTGTCCTGAGATCTGAGCTGGCTTTGCCCTTGAGAATGCACAGAGCTAGGATATTAATTCTGTTTGAAGGCCTGTAGGTAGTATGGAATAACATTAAATTGGCTTAAACTTCTTAAATATTTGCTTATAATATTTTGTGGCATCTACTTTATTTTGCCTTAGAATTCAGAATGAAATAATACTTTCTGACAGGTAGCCTACAATCTAAAAG